TGGAGAGCACTGTCTGGATTTTACTTACAGGTGCATACCAAACTTCTCTGCATTGGTGTATTTCTATTTGAAAAATCAGGATTTTCCAGGATGGGATTTTTAGGCAGAATTCTTCCTCACAAATTGGGATTATCCTGGTCAATCCAGGATAGTAAGCAGAAATGAAAATTCTATCCAAATCAATCCATATTCTTTTCTATTTAGCTCTCTCTGGGAAGAGTTTAAAAGGAAACCAGGTTCCAGTTTAAAAGGAAAAGCCCTGGGATATTGCTAACCATCCTTGAAGAACATTCAGAAACTACAGCTAATGCAAAGTGCGCAATTCCCCCCTTGCGTGCTGCGCATCTGCGCATGCATGCGTGATTCCCCCCTTGTGCCCCATGCATCTTTGTGCCTGTGCACTTTCCCCCTTGCATGCAGCACATCTGCGCATTTGCGCACAGTCCCCTCACACGTAGCACATCCCCGCGCACCCCCTCTGCCCCCTGTTCATGCACACCAGATACCCAACAATCAGCTGTTGGGCGGTGGTGCGCACATGAGCAGTGGGGTTCTTCCAGGTGACCTCTTGTGTGCCGGGGGAAATGGCTCTGCATGACACTTCCGGCACGTGTGCCATAGGTTCGCCAACACGGGTCTAGGAGGAAGTCCTTCTCTGCTGTTACTCCTGCCCTCTGGAATATCTTACCTCCTCAATGTGAGGTTGGCCCCAACCCCACTATCTTTTTGTAAGGGCCTAAAGACCTGGCTTTGCCAGTCAGCTTGGGGCCCCAATGGGCTGATTGAGTAATAATAGATCCCACCTCCCCTGTCCTCTGTCCCTGCCCTTCCCATCTGTCTTTGGTTTTAATGTTTGTTTTTAATTTTTTTATGTTTTAGCTTCTATGTAACTGTAAGTCTCCCAGAGTTACCCTATGGTAAGATGTGTGGGAAATAACAAATAATAAATAAATAAATAAACAAATAAATAAATCTGGGCTAAATCTCCATATTATCTAGCATTCTCTTTACAATAGTATCAGGTTATTTGTTTCTAGGAAGTTTGCCAACCTTTGCATGCACTATCTTTTACTTTGTAGTACCATTAAGTTATTTGGCTAACTGCAATGGGTGGTTCTTTTCTTCATGAATTTGTCCACTTCTAAGATGTCTCAAATGTAATTACTTATTCCATGCAAACAAAATTTCACCTCTCAGATTCATATGGTTGCTTATCTGAAGAGGTAACTTGGGGATATAGTGAAGAAATATTGCAATTGGTCTTTTCCGAAACTGCCTTTTATTCTATAGGATTTTTCAAAAGGAAAAGCCTATAAAATATGGTTCCAATAATAGAAATTACCAAAATAATAATAAAAAGATTATACAAGCAAATAGCTTCAGTGGCCTGAAAAAAATACCAGGGACTATGCGTAGACAGAGCTGGGGGAAGGAGAGATGAGTGAAGAGGTGGTGGGGGGATAAGCTACAAAAGTTCAGTACTAAAATAATAGGAGAAATCTCAGTTGACATTGATGCCACATTGCAGTCCACATTGCAATGTGATCTAAATAACATCTTTAACCAATCCAGGGAAGTATTTTATGCATGTTGCTTGATATATTAATGAACTAACTCTATGGAGTTTCATTAACCAGGAGACCTTTTAACATGTCCCAAAAGATATGTTGGGAAAATGCAGTTTCCATACAGAGGGTTCCTAGCATAGTCTTTCAAAGCACACTGTGTAGCTATTCTGTTTTCCCCTTCATAGTAGATTTTAAGGGAAGCTGACTCCAGTCTCCCAAAAGAGGAAGAAATAATGAGAAAAAGGTAAGATGGCTGCTAATGGAAAATAATGGAATCCAGAATGCCTCTAAAATTCTATGAACTATGCAAGGATATTACACATTAAACTCTTACCACTTTTTTCATGCTAATAGGAATGAAAATGAGCTTTTTGAATAGAGTAAGTACTGAAAAAACAAATATGAGGTAAATTGTACAAACAAAAGCCATAGCCATTTCCTTGACCACATTTTACCTCAGGTTATTATTATGTCTAATTAATATAAACCTTTTAACCCTCCACAAATCATTTCCAGGATCACAAGGACAATAAAATAGTAAAGACTGTTATATGCATCATGTGTGGAGAAAGAGGAAGGCACATGCCTGTATAGAAAACACACTGAGATCCCTTCTTGTTTTTGCTTCTTCTTCAACCTTCACTGGGATGCTGATAATCTTTCAAGTTACAAAAATCTGTCCTACACAAATGAGAGCCCCTGAGTCGGGCAGGATTATTTCCATTGGTAACATAAAACTGGGACAGGAGACATGTTGGTCGTCATTTATTAGTTCCGCAGTCTACAATAGAGTCTGCCTCATTATTTCTTAATTAGAAGCCAATGAAGCCAGGAGATAGCATGCAAAGTCATTTACTTTTTATTGCACCGCACCACAGACTGGCTTCAGGGAGAGGAATCAGGGAGCCCCATCTGAGCAGGAAGAATCAGAGGAGGCATTTATGAGCCTGTTTTAATGTCTCAACCACTGGGATGGATTGCACCATGGAGGGGAAGAAAATAAACTGAAGAGAGGTAGAGTGTTCATTTTGAAGTATTCTGAGGAACTGAGCACTCTTAACATTTATACGAGGGAGTAGGAATATCAATCAGCTTGCTCCACCTCCTCCTTATAGCTTTTCTAGCATGCTATGAAAGTGAATAAATATTCTTATTTATCTGATTTCAGAACTTCAAAGCATTCAGAGCCACAGCCCATAGTTTTGATGTAACTGGTACATCCTCTTACATTCTATCCCTGAAGAGAAGATAGCAAAATACAAATTTAAAAATATATCTCTAGTTCTTGCCTGCATATCATTGACTACAAGTCTTTTTAAATGTGATCAACCAATTTTGTCCTGAAGCCATTGCAGAAAAGCACATACTGAACTGGTAAAGTCGAGATTGTTTGTCTGGAGCCTCCTATAACTCAGATTACAGATTTCTGAATACAGAGCATGATTATGGGAGATCCCTACTGAAAGAAAACCCATATCAAATACATTTTGGTGGGTGAGATCCAGGAGAAGAGCCATATCTCTTCATACCCACCTCCCAGGTGAGATCTGCACAGATCCTTCTGACCTTCTGTAAAGGTCTGAAGATCTGGCTCTGCCAGCGGGCCTGGGGCCCCAACAATCTGAAGATGGTTAGTAGATGAGAGAAGAATCCACCTCCCCTCATGGTCTTTGAGCTCCTTTATTTCTCCCCCCCCCCAACTTTTAATGATAAACTTTTAGTATAACTATGCTTATTGTGATTTCTGATTTTTTTTTAAAAAATGTTTCTGGTTTTAATATTTGTGAGCTGCCCTGAGTTGCCTCTGGACAAGATGGGTAGCAGATAATCAAATCAATAAATAAATACACATCAAAAGGTTCAGAATCCTTTTAAAATAAACATGTACAAAAACTGAATTTGAAATATTCTGCTGCATGTGACCTGTTGTAACTTGTAACTGGCATTTCTTCAACATGTGAACATTTAGAAGCAAGAAGTGTACAATCACCCCTATCCCCTAATGAAGCAAAACATGCAGTCAGATTGATGCACAATTATTCTGGACTGCATTAGTTCAGAAGACTGTGTTTGAATACTTTCTGGGAATATAGGACAAACTACTTATCTTAAAAAAATATGAATTCCTCCAAGGTAAGATCACAAGATGGACTACTCACAGATACAAATGTTTCTATTGAAAGCAAGAAGCAAGGTTATGGCCAGTTCAGCCCTCAAATAGAAATGGAAAATGATCAACTAAAGTAATTCTTCATAACCAATCTTGAAAGCAAGTCAGCATGTCAACCATAAGACTGAGACATCAAAGTGTAATTATAGTAGGATAGAGTCCTTGATTGGCCTTAGCTGGAGCTTAGTTGTCATATTCAGGTTGAGACTTTTTGGTTTCAACCTGAGAACACTAGAGCATTTTATCTCTCTTTCAACATTTGCCCTTTGGCTTTGCTTTCTGTGTGACTTTCATCCTCCTGGGTATATGCTTTCTTAATTCCATAACAGAAAAATAGCTTACACAATCATGGAGATAGATAGGCACTAGAATAAAATGGTTTTAGCAAGCCAGTTCCCATCTTCCAACTACAGAAATTCAGTTGTCCCTTGGCTACATGTAAAATCAGATAATAAGACCATCTTTCTTCTTGACTGTTTTTTTTTGTCAATAATGGGGGAAGTTCCATTTGAACAGAAAAGCAGCATTTGAACTAGCTTTAGTTTTGTATTCATGGGGATCTCATCGTTGTTACTTGGAGTGTGTCAAGGCTATAATATATCTGAATATAGTACACATACTATACATATATATGATCTGAAGGCAGCTTATGTAGCCTCTCTTCGAATTTGCCCCTACAATAATCACCCTGTGATATAAATATAAATCACCTAGTCAGGTTCTGCATAAAGACAAGCTTACAAATAGGAATTCTTCCCTGCAATTGGTTTGTAGAATGTCAACATTTTTAGTTTTCTAGCTTTTCTTCTCAGTTGAACAAAGCCATGTTCTTTTAAGAACAGTAAGTTTATATACCCTGTAATGATTCCAGTTGATCATATAGTCCAAAAGAATCACACTCTAATTGTAGAGGCAGGAATTAATTGTATCATTCTAGTTAAATTTTCCCTCATGTGTAAGGAACATTTAGTTTTCTTTTTTTTCTTTTTTACTATTTCACAAATAAACATTAAACTTGCCATAGCCAGTGGCCCCAAGAAAAATCTGCCTTTATAATAAGATGCAAGGAGATGATCTGTAAAATCTTTCAAGGCTCTTCCAAGATGAAAGACTAGAGAATAAACAAGCTATTTAGGTCTGAGTATTGGCTTCTGGTGCCATGAAAATCAATGGACAGATTACAATAGGAACTGGACAAAGCTCTCTCTTGGCAACTGTGTTCAGAAAAGACACCTTCTCATTAACTCCCATGTAGTACACACATTTACTGCTGGTTGCCTGCAATCTGTTGCTGCCTCTGTTCAGAGAAGCATAGGCTCAGATTCCAGGTTTTAAGAGTTTTTTATTATGATTATCTTCAGTCCAAAAGACTCAGCCTATGGTGCTGCATGCTGGCATCTGTGAAGGAGTAAAAGCATTTGTGATGTGACTGGAAATTCAATGGCTGAACCATGTGATTCCTGCTAGAGCTGTAACAGCCTGCTGTTTTTGTTGGTAATGAGCTACTGTCAGCTGGGATACCCCAGCTTCAGGCTGGGCCCGCTTCTGCTGACAATTGCTGAGATGCAGGCCGCTAATGCTTTCGGTAGAGGGACAGGAGGGAAGTGGATTTTGGCTCACTAAAGTGGATTTTGAGTCATTATTCCCCAGCACGCAGCTTGCAGACCACAGCAGCCCTCTTGTTTCTCTTCTTTCCTTGAATCTGCTGTTCCCAACCCCAGCTACTGTTTTGTTCTTCATTCTCCCCACATTTTCTGGTCTTTAACCTTTGATTCACCATGGCTACCCAGATATTATCTGATGTTGGTGCTTCACATCTGGTAGAAATGGCTGAATGAGCACATTTGCCTCTACAGTTACAGAATGAATGGTGAGTAAAGTCAATAGTTGGAAGAAGCCATGTTGCTTGCATCACTTTCTGCAGCTTATCACTTGATGTTTGCTGAGAATGTGCTTGGTGTTAATGCCCAAACTTTGGAATGTTCTGACCCTAAGGGCCAAATTTGTTGTCTTTTAGGTGCCTGTTATATAAAGGCTCCATCTCTTCATCCTGGCTTTTTCTATTGACCCCACTTTAAATACCATGCCTGATTCTGGGACCAGGAAAAAAAAACTGTATTAGGTACAGGAAAGGAACAGGAAGAATGTTCAGGTCTTTGGTAGCTAAATTTTATGAAAGTATGAGGGAGCAGGGTATTTTACTTGGGAAACAGATGACTGAGAGAAGATAAGATACTTGAAAAGTGTTGCCATCAGGAAAATCACACAGAAGGCCAAGACTGGTTTTCCCCCCCCTGCCTGCAGTATTTGGTGTGGAACGATTGTCTTAGGCCAGGGGTTGGCAACCTTAAATACTCAAACAGCCATTTGGACCCATTTCCCACAGAAAAGAAAACACTGGGAGCCACAAAACCTTTCCCATGCCTGACTATTTCCTGAGTGGTCACAAAACTAGCATATGTAGTTGAATTAAATGTTCTGTTTTCTTCTGAAACTTTTCTTTTCTTGGATTCACCGATGGTTGGGCTACCAGAGGTTGAAAAGCTCAAAAAATTATGTGCTGGTGGGTGTCACACATTGGCAGTCGTGACATATTTTGAGTGACAGGGAGCCGCAGCAGAGGGATGAAAGAGCCATATGTGGCTCCAGAGCTGCAGGTTGCTGACCCCTGTCTTAAGCTATATGAAGGATGACAGCATTTGAATGTTAGGAAATCTCTGCTAATGGTAAAAGCAGTTAGTAGAAGCATTTATAAAACCAGTAGTAAGCTTCCTTCACTAGGTGTATGCAAATATAGGCTGAATAGTCATTTATCAGGGATAATTTAATTTGGATTGCTGCCTGAATGTGGGTTGGTCCCAGTGCCCCTTTCTAGCTCATGGTTCTCTTTGTTTTCTATATATTATCTGAACATATAAAGGATTATATTCTCTTATTGAAACCATCCAAACACATAGATGTGCACATGCAATGAATTCACTAAATTGCTTTAATGACCAAAAATTACTTAGCCAAAGGATCTATCTCTCCTTCATGAAATGGGCCTAAAAAGAGAGATAATAAATCAATTTAATCTTAATATGTGCCATTGTATCTATGTTGAATTATAAATGTAGCCCAACTAATTTCTATATCAGAAATATTAAAAATTGTGCATATATGCTTATATTTGAAGAGCATTTTCTAAATTGTGATAATTTTTGATTTAAAGCAAAAAGCAATATTGCAAAAATGAATGGCTAACCTATCCACATATTATTAATTTGCAAAGTTCAATTTTGTTAGTTCATGTGAAATTAAGGATCAAATTAAATGATTTGCCATCCTTACTTAGGTATATCGAGATCACAACAGGCTAATATCCAGGTAATAAGATTAGTTTGTTTATGGACAATTTTTTTTTTTTTGCTGAGGCATACATATTTGTATTGCCAGGCAGATACATTTGCCTTGTTGAATGGGGACAATGAGCAAAGGGCACCCCAATAATCTGAAAACATATGGTAATTCTTGAAGTTCATGTTCTAATCACCTTTGTTCAAAAGTGAAGGGTAGTAATGATGTGGAATGAGTATGGAGAGGAAAAAGTTTTTGTTCTTCTACATAAAAGTAGCTTTTTTATTTGGGCCAATTACAGTAATAGTTTAGACTCTGCCAGTGAAATAGCACCAGAACAAAAGATACCTTACAAAGCTTTCTTGCGTTAATGTGTTTTGATACCATTTTTAAATTAAATGCAGCTGTGGCCCAGCAGACTCCATCTCCACCTCCACCTCTGAACGACCAAAAGCAGATAAAACCAACTAATCCTCCACAGCAGTACCACTCCTTTGTGTGCAATGAAGCCTGCAAAATATCTTGGGCTGATGCTTCCTTAGTTCATTTTTTAGGTATGTTTTTCTGTGGCTTTTAAAATCCATAACCATTAAATTGGCTACTAAATCATAGAAGCAAGTAAAGATAAAACCAGTACAAACTCAGTGGTACCCACATCATGGATCATCACTGAAATCATTAAGTTGCAACCTAAAATTTACTAATCTTGGAACTTTGTTAACTCTTCTGAGAAGGATATTACTCAAACAGAATATTGCTATTATGAGTCCTTTTCTCCAGTCTTTTCCCGTCTTCTGTTAATGGATCCTTCCAATAAAGAAACATCACAAAAAACCTTATACCAAATGACATTACTTATCCATTATCTCAGCTCTTGTAGTAGCTCATCAGGATTTCAGACAGTCGAAATCCTATGTATGGGAGCCAAAGACTGAATGCACCACCTTTTGCATACAAAGCATGTTCTGTACCATTGAGCTATGGTCATGTTGCAGTTTTATGATTTATGGTACCTATGAAGATATAGCCCTCTTAATATGCAAATTAATGATGAGATGAATTGTTGTTATCTCCATTTTACAGCCAACAAAATAAGATTGTCAGACATGCCTAATTTCATTTTCTGTGCTCATAACCAAGGGGCAGTTCATTCTTTTCCATGTCTCCAACAGCAAAGAATAAAAACAAATGAAAAAATCTTCACACCATTCTATAATAATAACCAGATTGGATAATAATTCCTTGCTGTACTAATACTCTGGTAATGTTTGACAATGTCATTTTGTTTAATGTTTCTCCATCCCTGCTCCCGTGCACTGGTTGCCATTTGGAGAAGATAGGACAATAACATACAGAATATAAACATTTCTGAATCAGGATTTGGCTTACTAAACATTGCTAGGAACATGCATGGGACATAACAATGACAGCCATATTTCTAATGCAATGTTAACTTAGTAGACTAGGCTGTGAGCTTCCAGACCCCCAAATTTTCCTATTGACATATGGGCAGCTGCATACTATACCATTGGCAGCTACCTGGCAGCAATCCAAATTTGAGATGAGGAGGGCATGAATGCCAACACCTTATGAACCGGGAAAGATTGCACTGGCACACTAACTGAAGTTGGGCAAAAGCTCTCCTGGCTCATCTTCTACTGTGGCTTCTAAAAAATCCTAATTTTCAGCACAGCAGTTTTTGGTAGATTAAATCACATTAGAGGTAAGGTTTGTTTTATCCCCACTCAGTCAGTTTCTGTATCAAAAACCACTGCATCTTGTTTGAGTTAAAAATCAATCTGATTTTCTCCATCAAAACTATTAAAGCTTGAAGCACTAAGTGAAAACTTCTACTCCCATGTGGCCTACGGTAGACATGTACAACGGGTTACCATCAGTGGTGGGATTCAAAATTTTCCACTACCGGTTCTGTGGATGTGGCTTGGTGGGCATGGCATTGCTTGATGGGCGTGGCTTGATGGGCGTGGCAGGGGAAGGATACTGTAAAATCTCTATTACCTCCCCACTCCTGGGGAAAGGTTACTGCAAAATCCTCATTCCCTCCCCACCCACCCCACTAACCTGCTTTCTAGCTCTGTTCTCCTGTGCAGGGCAACAAAAGAAGACGCAGCCAATCAGCTGGGACTCAATGGGAGAGAGAGAATAGATGGGGGCGGGGCCAGTCAGAGGTGGTATTTGCCAGTTCTCTGAACTACTCAAAATTTCCGCTACCGGTTCTCCAGAACTGGTCAGAACCTGCTGGATACCACCTCTGGTTATCATTCAGAGTCCTCCCCTAAAGGATTCGGGCAGATGTTAAATAAAATAGGTAAGAGGGTCAAGCTTTCTAGCATCCCACATTAGACTGCTTGAGGATCTGATCTCTCCAAGTCCTGAAGTTATGGACTGGAAATATACAATCAAGAAGGAATGGAATGGAACCACCCTGATTCTTAGTCTTTACAGGTATACCAGAAAAATACCATTGTTAGTGTATTCAACGTTACGGAATAGGATTGTAGTCCCCCTATCAAAGGTCACAAATGAGAGCAACTAACACTGTTCCTATCCTGAGTTTGAACTCTGACTGAAAAGGGTCCAGATAATGCATTTCTTTCACAGTTCTTTGTATCTCACTGCCTTCTCAAGAATTGAGATTGGTAACTGGACAATTGTTCTCTAGTTCTTAATGGCCAGCCTGTTAAGGGAACAACACAGCAATACTCCTTTTAAGGACAACGGGAACTCTCACTTCTACAATGAAGATAGACATACCTATCAATATCAGTAATTTTTATTTTTCTGAAAATGTGCCCCTGTTTTCACATTAAGTCAGTCAGGTAAAACACGGTATTTTATTAGTTTGAGACACACTTCACTTTTTAGGGTTTGGAGATTTTAAAAACATTTCCACCATATAAGTTATTGTACACACTGTGGTGTTTTGCCTGAGACATGTACACTATCATTATGCTTTTAAAAATGTTTTTATAGTGAAAATGAAATTTCAAAATCCCAAATCAGCAGACATGTTCTGATTTACCTGTATCTTTGGAAATATG